TAGTAATTGTACTATATACCTAATATAATTATTACCTTTATAACTTCAAATATTTTATATAAATTTTATTATTTTTATATCACAATCTAATATACATATTTTTATCATTTTCACTATAAAATCAATATAATATTAATATTAAAAAATTTATGTGCAAAAATAATATTATTCTTTTTGCGCGACGGAAATAGTAAAAGACTTGTAAATACATTCTAAAACTATTAACATTATTTTTATTTATTTTAATTATCTTTTTCTATATTATATATGTATACATATTATTAAAACTAAGAAAAATTAAAAAATAAAATAAATTAAATTATAGAGGGGCAGGTTTGGCCCTCGCATACAATGACATACTTATAAATAGTATCTCTCTTTGTTAAAATGATATTCTGTGTAAACTAGTTAAAAAAAAAACCTACCAGACAAATACAGGAGTCTAAAAGTGCGTTTGGTTATCGGTTGGATTATTAAATTGAAAATTGAGTTGTAAGTGATTTATTTAATTAATATTTGATTTATGATGTAATATTTATAAGATTAAAAAATTGAAAAAATGTGTTTAATTATTTTAATAATTATATTTTAATAAAATATATACAATATGGATATTATTTTACAAATAAAAAAACTTTATATAATAAAAAAAATAAAAAAATATATATATAAATATTTTCTTATTATTAAAATAAATTAATTTACAAATAAATAAGAAATTTTGAATGTATATAATAAATTTGTTTATTAAAGAAATAGATAGAAATATATATATATATTATTTATCCATTTTATGTTCATGTAGAAGTTTTTTTTTTTAGTACCTCCAAAAAAATCTAATACAATAAGAGGCAGATTTAAAAAAATTTTTTATCGGTAACACAAGAGATAAATTAAAAATAAAATATATTAAAATTATAATATTAATATTAGTAAAAGAATAAAAATATTTTTAATAATGTAAAAATAATAATAATAAAATATTAACAATATAAATTAGTTATTTTAATTTGATTATATTTTTATTATATGATTGATATTTTAAATTTTGAATTTGAAATAGTCCTCTATATATATATATATATTTGTAAAAATAATATTTTAAATGAAGGTATTCAATTTTTTTAATCGTTTGCACAATTATTAAATTATAAAAGAAAATTTTAAAAATAAATCACTTATGGCACGTGACACATTTGTGCCACATTTCTATAAGCTTTCGCATCCCAAATACAATGGCCTTTTGTTGGATGAATATTTTTTTCAAAAACTTGGGTGAAAACCCAGTGCAATACAAGGCATCTTCAAATCACTTTTTTTCCCACTTTATTACATCTTTTTTTTATTATTTTTTTATTTCTCTCTCTTTTCTTCACAAGCTTCTTATTATCAACCATTGGACCTCATTTTTAAAATCTGATACATTTGAACAGGGACCGAATTACATTAGGCTTGGGGCAACTGATCCCTCAAACATAATTTTTTTTAATTTTTTTAGTGTTAAAAATATTAATTTTTATATATTTATATACAATTTATCCACTCAAAATTATCTAAATTCATATATAATTCTGATATTATTTTTTATATAAATTTATTAGTTAAATATTAAATAAATTATAAGATTTTGCCCTCCGAAATTTAGAGGCTAATTTCGTCACTGCATTTGAATATAATTGTTTAGAACACATAGCATTGATTGGAGACTTTTTTTTTTAAACAGCAAACAATTGTGATGAAAACAAATATACTTCCTCCATCCATTGAAACAGTAACATCTATTTTTTGCACGCAAATTTTTAAATATTAGTATTATATTGAATTGTAATATAAAAAAAAATATTTATATTAGTATTATATAATATAAAAATAATGATATTTGCGTAATATTGTAAGTTGAAAGAATATTTATTATATTATGTACGTAGTATAATTACTAAATAAGAAAATAATAACCTTGTTTTGGAACGAATAAAAATAAAAAATGATAACATTTTAATAGGACGGAGGGAGTATATATAATATTTTTATCATTTTTATAAATAAAGTGAATACATGGAAAATTATACTTCCTCCGTCCCATAACAAAGTATCTATTTTTCCATTTTAGTCCGTCTCATAACAAAGTATCCATTTCCCTTTTTAATAACCGTACTATCTATCTAACATTATAAATACCCTTACAATTTACAATATATTACACAAATGTCATTACCTTTATATCACACATACTAATAAGATTATTTCAGTCATTTCTACTTTATTCCTATTATATTCCAATATAATACTAATATTTTTAAAATTACGTACAAAAAACAAATGAATATTTAATTATGAGACGAAGGATTATTAAAATCATATTTTAATAAAATGCTAATAATCATATGGCAATAATAGCAATAAATAAATTATATATATAATGGATCACGATTGCGTTTTAAATAATATATATAATTTTTATTTATTATGGCATGCATGTCATAATAATAATAAGTGTGATATATATTGTTGTCTTTATATTATGATGTCATATGCTCTAACTTGATGACTAATTATATTATTAATAGCATATACTTAACTTATACATACTTAACTTATACATAGACAATAACACTATTACATATACATCGGTATATATATATATATATATTACACATATTTGTTTATCTATATATATGTTATATTTTTTTCGTCACGCATTAATATATATATATTTTTATTTTCGTACATCCTACTTTAATGTATACAGTTTTTTTTTTTTAATAATTGTGAATTTTATTTTTTTTATAAATATATTTACTCTACTATAAAATAATGTAAAAATAATGACAAAAATATATTTACATTACTTTTAACTACCAACTATTAAAATACTATTATTTGTTAGACTTTATGTCAAAAGTAAACTTATACCTTAACGTGGGATGGATGAAGTATATTATTTTATATTATATAAATTTTTGTAATACGTTATCAACACGAATTGCAAATATTTTGTTTAAAAAAAATTCACTGAGGTTCTATCGCAACGTCAAAGTGCTGCAAGAAATTTTACCAATTCTTTTTTTCTCCAAAATTTTAGGTAATTATTTTATTTTCAATATAGTTATGTATAATCTTACAAAATTTGAATTCCACCCGCCAGCTATCACTAAAAGTAATTATTTATCATAGGTAATGAATGTCAAGATGCATCTCGAATTCATAAGACTTGAAAAATAATAATGAAAGACAATGAATGCACGAGTTAGGAACGTGCAAAAAGCTATGGTATTTCTTCGCCATTACATTGACGAAACCTTGAAAATAAAATATCTCATGGTAAAAGATCCACTTGAATTGTGGATAAATTTAGAAGATTGGTTTGAGCAGTTGAAATCGGTCATTCTGCCAAAAGCGCAAAATACGTGGCAACACTTGCGTTTGCAAGATTTTAAAACTGTTATCGATTATAACTTCACGATGTTTAAAATCGCATCTCAATTGAGATACTATAGTGAAAAAAATTACCGATAAAGTTATGTTAAAAAAACATTTACTACGTTCCATGCTTTCAATTCGTTATTACAACAACAATATCGAGAAAGAGATTTTACAAAATATTGTGATTTGATAACTTACTTCTTTGTTGCTGAGCAAAATAACGAGCTGTTGTTGAAAAATCATGAATTAAGACCAACTTGTACGAGTTCATTCCCTGAAGTAAATACAATTTAATATTTGAATTTTGGGCCTAGAAACAATTGCGGACGAGGTTGCAGAATTGCTCGTGGGCATAGAGCAGAACATGGACGTGGAACTTACCGTGGGTGCGGTCGTATCAGGTTTGTTTCACATTATTATCATGATGATTATTTTGATGAACAAGGACCAAATAGACTCCTAAAGTGACTTCATGAGAATATTGATCAAAGTTTGAGGAAGATTGAAGATAAATATCATCATTGTGGGATGACAAAACACTGGTCCCAAACCTGTCGCTTGAATTTTATTTTTTTGAATTATATTAAAATTTCCTAAAGCAAAAAAACAAGAGAAACCCGGAGATGGTAGAGCTCCAAAAATCAATTTTTTAAAAAATAAAGTTAGTGGCAATGTAATGATAATAATGATGATACATATTGAGATGTATTCAAATTTTTAATAGACCTTGAAAGTATGTATTATGATAATTTTGATAGTGTAATATGATACTATGTATATATTTTTGTACCCCTTTGTACATTATTATTTTTGCCCCTCATATTTTGTAATAATAATATTATGCACTTCAACTATGTATTTTGTTCAATTTACTAATATATTTATTTTTGTGCTATTTTTCCCAAAGAAAAATAAATATAAATGATAATTGTGTCATAAACAATAATACCGAAGATAATTTTTATATATCATATATAGTGCATCAACGCACACATCTTGAAAAATAAGAAATATTTTACTAATTTAAAATTGGAAAAAAATCCAAATTAATATTATCAGTGAAAATGCTAAACTGATTGAGCAATTTTGAAAGTATGAATTAACGTATTTTTTTTTTTTCCTTCATTAGAATTTTAGTCCAGATAAGAGGAATAATTTTGAAAAACATGAAACCTATTCATTACAATTAATAACAGCTAAATATAAGTATTACGACACATGGTGTGTATAATTTAGTATAATATAATTCACCGAAATATTCAATAACAACATTTATAATAACCCGTCTTATGTAAGGATTTTACGAGTCATTTTAACATATATATATATAGATAAATTAAATTATTACAGAAATGATAGTGTATTAATTTACCACAAAAATAAATAAATTAAAAGGCGCCCATAGAAAAGGGGTAAGAATTGAAGATGAAATTAATTAAACCGGTAGGATGGTGATGGTATTGGTATTGGTGTTGGTGTTGGTGTTGGTGTTGGTGTGTACTGTGTAGTGTCACAACTTACAACTCACAACCCACCCCCTTCCTTTAAATTTATTTATTTATTTTATGTACCCAAAATTCAACAGACCTTTAATTCCCCATCTGTATTTTGGTGCTTTTAATTAAACCCCAGAATTATATTTCCACCATTTTCAAATACCTTACCTTACCTTACCTTACCTTCCATGGAGTCTCTTCACCTCCTTTTCACAGCCTTGGCACTCCTGGCCACATGCCTAATCTTCCTCGCGTCCCGCACTCGCGCCGCCAAGAAGCTCAATTTGCCGCCGGGACCGCCGGGGCCGCCGGTGGTCGGAAATCTGTTCCAGGTCGCGCGCTCCGGGAAACAATTCTTTCAATACGTCCGGGAACTTATTCCGGTGTACGGACCGATTCTGACGCTGAGAATGGGGACGAGGACGATGATCATTATCAGCAGCGCCGAGCTGGCGAGGGAGGCGCTGATCGAGAAAGGTCAGGTGTTTGCGAGCCGGCCGCGGGAGAATCCGACGAGGACCATTTTTAGCTGCAATAAGTTCACGGTGAACGCCGCGGTCTACGGGCCGGTGTGGCGGTCGCTCCGCCGGAATATGGTGCAGAATATGCTGAGCGCGGCGAGGCTGCGGGAGTTCCGACGGGCGAGGGAAGTCGCCATGGATAAGCTCGTGGAGAGGATTGGGGCGGAGGCGGCGGCCAACGGCGGCGAGGTTTGGGTGCTGAGGAACTCGAGGTTCGCCGTGTTCTGTATCCTGCTGGCGATGTGCTTCGGCCTGGATTTGACGCCGGAGACCATCGAGAAAATCGATCAGATGATGAAGGCGGTGCTCATCGTTTTGGATCCCAGATTGGACGATTACCTGCCGATTTTGAGTCCCTTCTTCTCCAAGCAGCGCCGGCGCGTTTGGGAGGTCCGGCGGGAGCAGATCGAGATGCTGGTGCCGTTAATCGAGCGCCGCCGCGCCGCCGTGAGGAATCCCGGCACCGACGCGGCGGCGGCGGCGTTTTCGTATCTGGACACGCTGTTCGATTTAAAAATCGAGGGGCGGAAATCGACGCCGTCGGACGCGGAAATCGTGACGCTATGCTCGGAGTTTCTCAACGGCGGCACCGACACGACGGCGACGGCTATTGAGTGGGCGGTGGCGCGGCTGATCGAGAATCCGAAGATCCAGACGCGTCTCTACGACGAGATTCAGGCGACCGTCGGTGACCGGACCGTCGACGAGAAGGATGTTGAGAAAATGGCGTACCTGAACGCCGTCGTGAAGGAGCTTCTCCGGAAGCACCCGCCGACGTACTTCTCGCTGACGCACGCGGTGGTGGAGCCGGCGAAGCTCGCCGGGTACGACATTCCGGCGGACGCCAACGTGGAGTTTTTTCTGCCGGGGATATCCGACGACCCGAAAATATGGTCCGACCCGGAGAAGTTCGACCCGGACCGGTTTTTCCTGGGGAGGGAGGAGGCGGACATCACCGGAGTGACGGCGGTGAAGATGATTCCGTTCGGAATTGGGCGGCGGATATGCCCTGGGCTGGGGATGGCGACGGTGCACGTCAATCTGATGCTGGCCAGAATGGTGCAGGAGTTCGAGTGGTTCAGTAATTCCGGCGACGGGAAAGTGGATTTCACCGAGAAGCTGGAGTTTACGGTGGTTATGAAGAATAGTCTCAGAGCTAGGGTTCGGCCGAGGAAGGCGGCGCCGGCGACGGCGTAATCGCCGGCGATAAGCGTTGCGTATTGTTTACTAGTGTTTTCACTGCTACTCTGAAAGTTGTTTATTTATTGACTTTGCTGAATTTCATTTCCATATATGTGATCTTGTTTTTATCCCTATTTTTTCTATTTTATCCTTGCATATTCTCCAAAAATATTAATTCACGGGACACATTTATTATTTTTATATTATTTACACAATTTTTTATTTTAGGAGTTAATTAGATCAAATTGACATCGATTTCATTCCATCAATATATATAATCAAGATTGTGTGTATATATATATTTCTATATAAAGATACAATAAAAAAGTTTTGACCTGATTTTTTTTTCAATTTTAAGTAATTGGAAGTTGATTTTAGAATGTTTTTACGTAAGAAACGACATATAGTATTTATTCCCATATTCCTCCCTTGTTCGACCAACACTCTCTTTTCGATACTTCAATTTTGTTAAGACAAATCTCTTTCTAGCTTAAGGAGTTACAGAGACCTTCACGGCTCTACTTCATTTGTGTTGTGATTTTCACATGTTGTACACAAGGGTATACTCTGTAATTGCCGTATGTATTTTTTTTTTTTCACTTTTGAACTTGTAGAGAAAAAATTTTGTGATACATATATCATTTGTACTATACTTCAATTAAATTTGCGTACCAAAAGTGTACACCCCGGTTGGCTCAAGTTTGAGTATTACCGCCACGCTACACATGAAGCCTCATTCATCAACCAACGAGCCCTACATTGTGACGCTAAGGTTAAAAAAATGCCCAACACAGGCAAGAAAATAGAAATTTAAAACTAAAGCGCACCGACTAGTCATCTAAATTAAAATAAGATAGTTCTAATTTTTCTGATGGATCAAGTGACGTGGATGCATCACTTAGGCATAATAGAAGCACCATCATCTACAAAAAGTATGTAAAGACGGTCAACACGACAGTAAATACAATAAATAAAAGGTAAATCAATATGATATATATCATGATTCACAAGTAAATACCACAAAATAATTTGAAGATGATATCTTGAATGAAATGTCACATTTAGACAACTCACACACAAGTCTTTTAGTGTCTCCCTTATATTTCATTTTTATTCTCAAATAATGGTGATGAACACATCACGAAGAAAACTACACTAGGGCTTAATTAACGCCGGCTCGACTTGGTTTTCTAACCTTATCACTTCGCTTGACACGTCATATGATTACACATAACAAATATAAACTCATAACCCTCAAATAAAACTCCACACTCGGTACATAAGGGTTTGCAGCACAGAGTACACATAAGTTAACTTTTTTATTAGTTTGCAACGGATGTCAAACGACCAAACACTCTAATCTCCAATATAATATACCAAGAGGGGATTGTACGCAATTCATCTCTCCATCACGGATGACGGTCCAAAGACCATTTTATCGTAAATGACGGGCACCTCAGAATCACCAAAAAAGGGAACTTTCCATCTTGATCCCTCGGCCTAGCCTATTCGGGTTCTAGTTAAAGGTTAACTAGTTATCCTAAATATCGGTAGACCCTCATGTGTTTGCAAGGCACAATGGTGGAATGCTATGTCGTATCATCCCAAACAATCGACGAGTTGATCGGACTCGACGGGTAGTTTCAATTACCAATTTGACCAAATACTCAACATGCTATTAAACAAATTTTAAAAAGAGTTTTAAACTCAATACATTCCAATTGACAACATTTAACAATCCAAATAAGCATAATTTAACCCCAAAAATCACAATATTTAAAATAATTAGAAATTATTTCTTAAAAATCATAAACTAGGTTAGGGCAAAATTAGATTTTCTATTCCGTTTCACAAATTATTCACTTTTCTACTTAAATCACCGTAAATATTTCCATATAAACCTTAAATAACATCCTAATAAACTTTCTAAAGAGAAAATTGGAAAATTCAAAATTTTAGAACTAACCCATTTAAAAATAATTTGAAAAATATCAACCAATAGGTCTAGAAATTATAATATATCATTTATTTAAGATTAACCTCACTTACCTCAAGAGAAGAGACTAAACAAAGAAATTTGGAGAAGAAAATTTTCAAGGAAAAACAAAACAGACGCTGAGCGGTGGGCGGCGACTAGAGAGACTGGAACGCTGCTTGTTGCTTCTGCCTCTATTTTTTATATTTTTTTAAAAAATGAACTTGGGCTCAAAATGACTCAAACTCAATGTTATTCCAAACTTTAACCAAATTCTTTTATTTTTTTAAACCAAAAATCCAAAATAATTTGAGTTCCAAATAAAATTGTCTTATTCCAATTCGGACTCCGAAAAATTCCGACGAACTTCCAGTAATTACTTTTACGGAGGATTACAAAAAGTAAATGAAAAAAATTATTAGCACACAAATGAAGTATAATTTTAAATTAAAACCAAACAAATCTAATATATTTCTTTTGCCTTGTAAATTATTTGTTATGTTTTCGAAATACCCAACATTTTCTATTCATGCATTAGCTATGTTTATTATTCGTTTATATATTTTATAAAATTATATTTTGTAGAGAATAATATACATAAAAATATATATATTTTTGGTACGGATGCTGAATTTAAAATATTCAACACTCATGCTTATAGTTAAAAATAAGTTATGTATAATTATACTAGTTCTATTATTTAATGATAAAAATTATACTAATTAATTTTCATTCCTTTCAGTATAGGTGCTGACCAAATCTATTCATCACACAGATCCACTCTCTCATATATATATATATATATATATATATATTTTAAAATAAAATTTAACTATAAAATATATTTTTTAATATATATATATATATTTGTTGAAATGACAAAAAGAAAAAGAAAATAAAAATGTGATGCAGGAAGGTATAGATGAATTTCTATATTTGTTTGTTATTTATTAATTTATGGTATTAACTACTGTGAAAGGCTGATTAACTGTTGAATCTTAAGAATTAGTTCATTAGGTTTAGTTAATTAAGTAATTAATTCCAAACACACGCTACCAAAAAAATGTCTATTTCTATCGGAATTAAAATTCGTTACGAATGAACATTTTTTGTGGCAAAAAACTATTTATAACGACTTTGTTGCGAATTTTGGTCAGTATATTTACTAGAGTAATAAATAGTTTGTGTCACCACTAATGTTGTAACAAAAGTCCAGCGGTCAATGCTTGTGAGATGACTTTTTGTACGAATCTTTGTATGCGACAAAAAGTAAAATTCTTTTTGTAACAAATAGTGTCCATAACAAAAGATATAGTACAAAAGTTTTCTGACAATTACAACATATGTTTGTATCAGTTTTTGTTACACGTACCTATTCGTGACAAAAATAAAACTCGTAGTCGTAACAAGTAATGTGTTGCGAATGTTTTCTGACATATGTGAACGGGAGCGCACTCTTCTTATGATGAAAATTTTCCAACGTATTTTCCAAAAAAAATTAATATACTACATATATTATATTTATATGAGCTACACAATTCTCTGTATCCCACACAAAACAAATATCCCTCCAAACCAAAAGACAAAACAAACACACCTATTACAATAAAAATAAAAAAATTTTGGTTTGTTTGCTTTGTGGAAATTTCACTATACATTTCTCCAAAAAAATCAATATATTACACACACTCATTAATTTTATATTACATACAAAATACACTATACCTCGTATAAAAGAAAGATTCTTTTCAAACCAAAACATAAAACAAACAAACCCAAATCAAAAGATTTGAAAGTCCGATAGAATCTACAAAAGATTATATTACACACTCATTGATTTTACGTATTAAAACTTACCATAATTTTTCATATGAATTTATCAAATATTCTTTTAAATCAAAAGATTAGATATCCTGACATAATCTATAAATTTGAAAATTATATTATGATATAATACTCGAAACCAAATTAATTAGAAAAAAAATACATATGTTGTCACTTAAATTCATCGATGACGGTCCAAATAATTTAGGCCAGTCAAAATTGACAAAAATCGGGTTCTCCAACCTACTCAATAAAGTATTCGGGCCAACTTTTGCGTGAAAAATAAATCGATAACAAATATGTATGAATTATAGTGTTGGACCGTAAAGAAGAAGAATGACCGTATATTAATGGAATAAATTGAAATGAATTGAATACTTGAACGCATAAGAACAAAAGAAAGAAAAATAATTAATTAGACAAACTTTGATTTTGAAATTCAAAAGTAAGAAACTAATAAGAAAGTAGGAATCAAACTTAATAGTGAAAGTAATAAATTGTGCAAAAATAATAAAACAAAGGAAAAATGCTAAAAAAGAAAAAAGAAAAAAAAGAATGTAGAATTATGCAAGAGTAAGAAAAATAAATAATAAAAATGATGAATTATTTTGTACTTGTTTATACAGATGTATTCTCCTTTTTGTGGTCTCTTCATCTCCTTTTTGTATCACAACTTCATCCATTATTTATCTGTTTTTCGAATTTTTCTGAACTTTTCCACTCACCCACTTTATTTATTCATTTCCTTAACTTCCCACTTTATCAACTTATTTTTGAACTTCTCAACTCTCTCCTATATTTCCTTGAACACGTCAAAACATCTTGAATTGGACCGGTCAAATTGGACTTCTTCGTGGGCCGCGTGGGCTGATCCTCTGGGTTGGGCCGTCTTTCCTTATCGGACTTGAAAATTAGAGAATAACAAATGTCCCTCAACAATATTTGGACAAAAATTTTGCCAAACTTAAACAGTAAGAATGAAAAAGATTTAATTAATAGAAAATAAAAATAATACAATAGATAATTAAATAAATACATACACAATAATAATAAAAATACTAAAATAAAAATAAAATTTTTTATATTAAAACTTACCATGACTTTTTATATAAATTCATCAAATAAGACTCAAAATTGAACATAATCTATAAAACTGAAAACGAAATATTATAATATAATATTTGAAACCAAATTAATTAAAAAAAGAAAAAAGCATACACAATAAGAATTAAAAAAATTGAATAGCAAAAGATAAAAAGAATACATTATATACTTAAAAAAACACATAGAATAAAAGTAAAAGTACTAAAAAAATAAAAATAAAAATAAAATTAT